TACATGTCATAATAATAATATTAAACATCCTGTCTTCTAACAGTCATCAACTTTCTATCTAGTTATCCTTGACCATAAGCAACCTGCAGCACTCAATTAGAATGACTAAGCATTATAAGAGCCTGAGCTAGACACCCTGTCTACTCTAAAACATTTCTAATACATCAAGTATCTAACCAATATCTATCTGACTAAAAATACCTAACAAAGGCCTGGCCTCTTTTGTTGCCAACCCATTACAGACTTAGCCTACATGGCTGCAGTGACACTCGGCTGGTACATCCTGTAATAGCAGTGAAAGCTTTTACGATCACAGCTGCACTGCGGCTATATGGCCACTTCAGCAGAGACAAAGAGTTACTGGATATCTCTTTATGCTGATGATGTCTGAGTTTATATTTCTGGTCCTGAAAATTCTTCAAAGATTCGCCAGATTTCAATCTGCAACCAGAGAATCCAGCTCCTCTCCTCTATGAACATCCATCCCTCTGATATGAAGCTGAGAAAACCACAGTGCTGCTTTATGTGTCCTCAGAGTTCAGGTCTTGGTGACTCAGCCTGGAGCCTTCAGCTCTGCTCTGGGAGCCTCCGTCACCATCAACTGTAAGACCAGGCAGAGGGTAGATGGTGGAAATGAGTTATCCTGGTACCAGCAGAAAAACAGAGAAGCCCCCAAACCTCTCTTATACTATATTAACAGTCAAACATCAGGGACTAACCTGCTCTGAGTGGGTATATGCAAGTGTGCAGGTGTGGGGAGACAGTGCAGTGTCACTACACAGACCTTATGAAAGTCTGTGTCTGCTTGTCCTTCTGTGGTTGTGTGGACACTTTTTCCTCCGACCCCTTTGTTGTGAGGACATGCTGTCTGGTCCTCACTGCTCCAAAGGCTATTTGAGGGTTCAGGTTAGAATCAGACTTTGGTTAGAAGATGCACCGACTCAGTGAGGGTCCTCACAGATATTAAGAAAAAACACAGTGTGTATGTAGGTCATCTGTTACCAACACAGCATTGCTGACAGAAAACCTCGTATGTGAGGTGACAGGGCTAACCACTGCTCCGCCTTTTGTTCCACCAGTCAAAAATATATAAAGATGGTGGGTGCGTTAGTTTTCTTGCTGCCATTTCCTCTATTCACTAAACCAGTTCTGTATCTTACTGAACTTATAACCGACATAGTGTTTACTACACCAGCACAGTAAACGCTCTACTGCAGTACAGTAACCGATCAACACAGGCCAGTGTCAGTAAGTGAAGTGCAGCTACTGTTCAACTGTCTCAGTCCACCGAAGATGTCAGATATTCACGACAAACCAGATTTATCCAGAAAGGTGAGATACAACAGAAAGCTGGAGGGAGATGGAGCAGAGTCGGAGGTGGCGATCTACGAGGTTCCAGACAATACCAGAGATGATCGCACTGGTTTTCAGTCTCAGGAAGGAGGTAAATGACAAGTCAACATTATAAAAAACTATGATGTAACTGATGTGTGAAGCCCAAGTTTGTTCTCTGTTCAGTTTCTTACACTCATCTTTCCAACCCAAAGCACCTGCGGCCCATCAGACGTCTCTTTGTTTCTACACACCTACATGTACCGTGTTGACGCTTTTCCTAAGTTAGTTGTTTGTTAAAGTGCACAGAACTTGAGCTGTTGAAGAAGAGGACTCATCTTCATATCCTTTGCTGCTGATTATTCACATGGTAACATGGAAGAAACAGCATCATTTTTGTGAAGCAACAACTGTGGTTAGGACAGTTTCAGAGAAGCATAAAGGAAATGTGAGGTTTGGTTTGACAGGAACTTTTAATGTTGCTGACTGACTCTGGTGTATAGTTGTGTGCAGACTGCATCCAACCACAGGTGTAAGCAATAAGTGAGGAAAGTGTTTCACCAGCAGAGGATGATGGTAACGACCATGAGACCAGCAGCCGTGTCTCTTCCTTCTAATGAACGTGTGTTTTGCCTGTGCAGGAGCTCCCACTCAGATGCCTCTTCCAGTCCAAAGAAGGTCTTCCAGAAGAGCAGTAGTGTGTCTGGGAGCACTGTGCCTTCTGATGGGGGGCGCCATCATCATCCTGTCCATACACTGTAAGATCAACCACAGTTAACAAAAGTCTGTAAGAAAACTCTCACCCCATGTTATGGAAGATTACCTGGTACTGTTCTGCTTCTTGGTTGTTTTTTTTATAGTTTACACCAGCAAATAATGATCCACTAGGTAAAATTAGCCAGAGTGAGCTGAACAGAAGGCAGAACTCCAGTTTCTTTCTTCTTCTTTCTTTCTCTTTATTTAACCAGGTAAAAAACCCATTGAGATCATGATCTCTTTTACAAGGGTGACCTGGCCAAGAGGTCAACAACACATGTCGTCAATACATAAGTTTCAATACAAATCAAAACATTAAACATTTAAACAATCAAAACCATAAATACAATAATCAACAATATAACCAATTTAAAAACACATACACTGACCAATAGAGTCCTGTTGCCTAAGAGCCATAAGAGAATAAAAAGCTTTAACTGAGCATAATTCAGTAAGTTTAAAATCTGCTTGGAAACTATTCCACGAAGAGGGAGCGGCAAATCCAAAAGCCCGTTTCCCTTTTTCGGTCCGAACTCTCGGCACCATGAGCTGATACTTATCACAAGACCGTAAAGCATATTTGGTATCCGATCTACGTAAAAGAGAGCATAAGTATGCCGGAGCTAGGCCTACCAAAGCCTTGTACACTAGCACCATCCAATGAACATGTCTTCGCATGCTCAGAGACGACCACTGTGCTTTAACATACAGGTCGCAATGGTGCGTTAGTCGACTACAACCCGTCACAAACCTCAAGGCACTGTGGTAAACCACATTTAAAGAATGGAGACATCTAGCTGAGGCATTCATATACAGTACATCACCATAATCCAACAGGGGAAGAAAGGTCGCTGATATTAAATATTTGCGTGCCTGCAAGGAAAAGCAGGATTTATTACGATAAAAGAATCCAATCTTCATCCGTAATTTTCGAACCACATTAGCAATGTGGGTTTTAAAAGACAACTCAGAATCAAGTAAAAAACCTAAGTACTTATAGCTGGAAACCAGCTCAATCAACACTCCCCGATCTGTTGTTATTGACAGAGTATCTGTTGATAGCTCCTGTAAATGCGAAAATGCCATAACCTTAGATTTCTTAGGATTTAAGACCAACTTCAGCGCCCGTAGGCGAAACTTGAAAGATAATTCCTAAACCAAGGGATCGCTCCCTCCGACAAACCAATCCTTAACAACGAGTTAATCAGTAATACATGATCCACAGTATCAAAAGCCTTAGAGAGGTCAATAAATAAAGCTACACAATGTTTTTTACAATCCAATGCTTGTAACACATCATTTAAAAATTTTAATGTGGCAGTAACAGTACTGTGCTGTTTTCTAAAACCAGACTGAAATGGGGACAATATGTAATTTGATTCTAAAAACCCCTTAAGTTGGTCACTCACTATTTTTTCTAGGATTTTCGCTAAAACACACAGTTTAGAAATTGGCCTATAATTATTAACTTCCGATGGATCACCTTCCTTTAAAAGGGGAAGAACAAAAGCTGATTTCCAAATCACTGGAATTTCGTTACTACTAAGACTTAAATTAAAAACATAAGACAGTGGTTCAGCTATATAGTCTGCAGCCAATTTTAAGAAAAAAGGATCCAGTCCATCAGGCCCAGCTGCTTTTCTGGTATCCAAATTACTTAATGCACTATGAACCTCAGAAATAGGCACAGAAGTAAAAGAAAAAGTATTAAGAGTAGAACGACTACTCGTTTCAGAAGATTCTGTTTTTGAAAGCAAACCAGATACTTCAGAGTCCAAAGAGTCAGATAAACATCCAGCTGAAGTAAAATGTTCATTGAAATGGTCCAAATGGATCAGCATTGACACAAGTTTGAAAATGTGACAGTGAGATTTAATCATGAACAGTAAGAAACTTAAACCTGCCTTTAGTTTAAGAATTTAAAGCTTTTGGTCTGTTTGCTCATCAGATATTTTCATGATCAACAATTAAAGAACAACATGAAGCAGCTCCACGATAAGACTGCAGCTAAAAAATAATAATTTAAACTAATACACAGGATCCAGATGACAAATATTTTTGTTTTGTTGTTTTATTTGTTCTTGTTTTTATCCAAACATATAGCGGTCATAAGCAATAGACAGTTACAGGACGAAGTAAAGAAGCTAAAGACCACAATTGAAGGTGAGAAAAGTTTAAAAACTAACAGCAAATACCATTATTACAACCCCAATGTCAAACAAGTTGAGTTTGGGCTGTGTCAACTGTAAATAAAAACTCAATAAAATGTTTTGAAAATACCGTTTACCTTAAAATGAGATGTGTCGACAACAAAGATCTTAAATGACAAGTCTCATCAGTTTCACACTGAATGACATGAAATGTGTCTTGAAAACTCGTTTGACATTAAGGGATGTGTCCTGAAGGATGGACGAGATTTGGATGCAGCTGTTACTTTAAATTGAATGAGAAGAAAAACTGGTTTGACAGCAGAGACGACTGTGTTGAGAGAGGAGCTCACCTGGTGATCATAACCAGCGAGTAGGAACAGGTGAGTGTGTGTTACTGTGTGTGACATCTCTGATGGAGCTGCCAGTGGTGTGTTACTGTGGGTCTGACCTACTGCCAGTAGTTTGGTTTACAGTCGGTGTAATGGAAAATTAATATTAGCACCTTCATTAGCATGTTGACTGTTGCCATGTAGTTATTATCTGTCAGACTAGACAGTTTACTGTGTAAGAGCGTCTGCAATGAAAAATGTGATTGTATGGATGAAAAACCACACAACCTCTCTTCGTATTTGAAACCAGCCTGATCTGGCCTCACATATGACCTTAATTGATCAAAACCACAAGTAATTTTATTGATGTCTATGTATAGACATCAAAGGAAGTGCAGCTCTCTGCTCGGGGAGCTTCTCCTTCAGACTGTAACACTGCTCAGAGACTGCTCTTTTCTGCAGAAATAAAGGCTCAACAACATTCAGGTTGATGCCAAGTTTTTAAATAAAGTGGAATAAATAAACAGGATTGTGTTCCACAGACATTTCTGTCTGAAAGAAAGTATTTTCCTTCACACAGTCACCAAGTGACTTTATCACAACACAAACGCTGACTGACAAATGGAGGAATGATTGTTGTCTCTTGTCAACTACTAGAAATTCATCACTAATCTGAACTGGTATGGAGATTCATGGATCGGTCTACAGCCTGTATATGAACAATGGAGATATACATGGAAATGGTTGGATGGATCAGCATTGACACAAGGGTGAGAGGGTTTGTCTTTCTATCACAGTGTCAGAAACCAACAGAACCAAGTGTTAAAGGTAGGACAGCAACACATGGTGAAATGATTGGATCAGTGTTTGTTGTTTAACAGCCCCCAGATGTTGAATCAAATAAAAGAAAGTAAGAAAAAATCCTTGTTTAGACAAAGAGCTGGACATGAACTCTCTTCACCTTCAGTCCGTGATGAGGTCGAGAAACAGAGTTTGAAGGAGTCAGGATTCAGAAACGGTTCAAACCACTGGTCACAGTTCAGCTTATTGAATGTTTGCTGCCGTCTGTGTCCTCAGACAGAACAAACATGGTGGAAGTAAAGAAACCAAACTGGTTCTGAGCTTCAGAAGTCACACAGATGTGACTGCAGCTCCTTCAGCTGTAGCCCAGCATGAAGGACGACCTGTCTCTTCTCTGCTGGGTCTAAAGCTCAGGACATAAGAAGGACAAAGCTGAACATGACCATCAGTCCAGGGATGGATGAAGAGAGCAGCTTTCCAACTAGTTTGTTCTGCTGGCAAACTGAGGTTCTGCAACACAAATCCCTGTGAGCCCCAAAGTCTTTTCCTCATCAACAGCCATTTAAAACTGCTGTGTGTCAAAGTGCTGACAACACAGCTCACACAGCAGGAGGGCAGCTACTGCTCCCTCATCATCACCTTTTAAAGCATTAAGACCCAACCTGTGTAAAACCCACTGGGCTCAGGCAGAGAAACACCACTGAGCTGAACAACCAGGAGTCAGACCTGGAAGAGAAAAAATGTGGTGGAGTACGAGCAGAGGAACGTTCACTGGAATGAACGGACGCCATCTCTGAGTCCTGGATTCAGGTTTCATAATACAGCTGGGACCAGACCTATACCCACAATCCTTTGTGTTGAGCTGTTTGCAAATCGTCTAAAACGTTACTGAACATATTGAAAATATTTAAAGTGAGATTCAATATAACTTGAATCAGAAAAGTCAAAGTTTCAGCCCTGTTTAAAATGAACCTTTGTTTGTCCCACAGGTTCTGGGCCACAGGACTGTCAGGATTTGCCGCACAACATTCATATGCAGCATGTTGTGATGACCAAGGAAAATGGACTCGCTATTTTGGCTATTATAATTTTAAGACCGGGATCTGTGAGAAGCAGATTTCATTGTTCCCCTGGCGTCACAGAGCTGTGTAGTGTTGGGATGAAACTGTTGGTCGATTCAGAGCAAAGACAGCGAACTATGAAACGCTCTTGTTAGGTATTTTTAGTCAGATAGATATTGGATAGATACTTGATGTATTAGAAATGTTTAGAGTAGACAGGATGTCTAGCTCAGGCTGTTAAATGCTTAGTCATTCTCATGAGTTGCTGCAGGTTGCTTATGGTCAAGGATAACTAGATAGAAAGTTGATGACTGTCAGCAGACAGGATGTTTAATATTATTATTATTATGATGTGTATAACTGTAGCCATAGCCATAATATTTTCTTATGTTTAATGTCATGACATGTCACTAGAGGTCGTGTTAGAATGTTTTAGCTACACACCACATAATCAACAGACAATCACACATTGATTTTCTTCATGCTTTGACTACTGTTATGGTCAGCTGCAAAGCTGTCCCTGGGAGATGTCACAGTTTGGTGTGTCTCTGTGTAGAATGGGGTTAGCCCGAAGTGATATAATGTATAGGCCTGTTGTGGTTCAGGGTCTTTCATCTTTCAGCTGCCTGCGTGCATGTTGGAGGTGGAAGATACCTGAGCGTGTAATGTTAATTTTTACCTGTGTTCATTGAATAAATCAGCACTGTTTTGAAGTTACTTGAACTGCTTCGTCTCTGAGTTAGCATGGTTAAAAGTACCAGGTCCCAACACTCTGCATGGGCCTCAGAGTCATCCTCCATTGGTTCACTTGTTCTTTCCGCGTCACATGTTCGGTCACTGACTACACAGATATCGCCCCTCTGTAGTGCAGAGTAGTGGGCTTGGACGTCATCCACTGTGTAAGATTTGATTCTTATAGGCTCTAGTTACTTTATAACCTTTTATATACGTATATGTGTGTGTGTATATATATATATATGTGTGTATATATATATATATATGTGTGTATATATATATATGTGTGTATATATATATATATGTGTGTATATATATATGTGTGTATATATATGTGTGTATATATATATGTGTGTATATATGTGTGTGTGTATATATATGTGTGTGTATATATATGTGTGTATATATATTTTTAGTTGCTATTCTTACTTATAAACTTAGAATACTACCCAAGTATAGTTAGTTAATTTCAGCATGTCACACATTTTTGGCTTGTCACTAGGTGGCAGTATCTACTAAATAATTTCATTGGGAAATAACTTGCATGGTAAAATTGCAATCTTTGTAGTTATAACATTACAAACCGAACAAAGAATTATTTAAAATGTCTTAAATTTGCTTCAGATATTTGTAAAGAATGCCATTTTGTTGGAAAGATTACATTCAAAAAATACTAAATGATCTACAGTGAGTTATTGTTGTGTTTTTGTGACCATGAATGATAATTGTTGTGCATTTGAGGTAATTATTTGCTCATTCATACTGATATTTATAACTCAACTACAGAATACGTAAGTACTTAGGTATTAAATCAGGACGATGAGCCAATATTCTGGTGAGTAAGAGGTTTTTTGTTTGAACCTTTAGCCTCTAGGTGACCCCTCAGTGAGTGTGATCAGTTTTCTTATTGGCTAAAAGCACTGATGCAATCTTTTCCCAGAGCCAAAGGTTGAGTTTCTGTAAGGTTTATATATAAACTGCTCATTGTAGAACTGAGTGTTGACTTTGCCTGCTGTCCGTGCATGTGTTTAGCAGTTCATCCTGTCTCTCTCTCTCTCTCTCTTTCATCCTCTGGGTGGAGGACTGAAGGCTGCTGGCCTCATCTTCATCTCAGTGAAGGGGATGGAGAACTCTTTTCCTTTCCAGCTGCTCCAGATCACACCCTGACACACACAGAGTCACACTGAGGTCAGACAGAGAGCCCGTGTTCACACATCCAGACACTTTCCACCCCAGGTCATGTGTGTGCTCACCTGAGTGCTTCAAGAGAACGGCAGTACAGTATATTCACCCATTGCTATTTGTCTTTGCACACTGCTGACACCAGGAGGAGGTTTAGTTTGTTCTTACTGTGTCTCAGCATTACATGAGCTTGGTATGTTAATGCCATCCTGGTTGTACTCTGAGGTCGACAAAGAGATTTCCTCACAGCTTTTATTATAACAGAGGTAAGGTCAAAGGTCACCACGAGGAGAAACCACTTCTTCCTTTGCTTCTGGTTGGCAAACATTAAGTGAGCCACTACCGCCATCGTGTGGTGAGGAGTGTAATAGATGGAACTGATCTGAGCCTTTTTCAGACCTGAATCCTTTGGTCCTGTTAGCTCCCAGTTTTTGTTTGTTTCCCCCCTTGGATCTAAATGCAGCAGCTGTATTTGGGTACAGACCAAACAGAAGTATCAGACCAGTTGTTAACATATTTTGGGGTGGTTTGGTTGTACTGGGAGAACCATCTGATGCCATTCTGACCTCACTACAAGGTCTGCTCTGCACATTTTGACTAAACGGGTCCTGCAGCCAGGAGGGTTTAGCATAGTGGGAAATAGATTAGCAAAATCATTTATGTTCATTAAGTGTGTTGCCTCCTCAATACCGGGACAAACCGGACTTCTTCAAAACCTCCTCTGTTTGGTTATGTTCTCACTTTCCCAGCAAGCAAGGATCCTTTTAAGAAGTCAGGATTGTTGCCTCAATACAAACCTGATCTGTGCTGTTGTTCCTGCTCCTGAGGCAGGAGCTCCTGATATGTGAAAGACATTTGCACTGACTGGTCAAATTCAATTGTCTAGACTGGTACAAAGTGTCTACAGCATCATCCACACTGCACAGCAACACTGGCAGCTGCTAGGATCAATATCTGAGGTAATAAACCTGATTTGAATCTGATTGACTCCAGTCTTAAAATGAACATGTGACAGTAAAAAATGGAGGGTGTGTCAAAGAAACTACAGTTTACTTTCTAATTGCTTTACTGTTTTCACTAAGGCTACTGTCTGATGTGCAATTCAGGAACGTTTTAGTCTCAGTTTGCCCTACATTTTAAATTTTTATCTTATAAACATTTTGAGGCTGTGCTGCCTCTGGGGTGAATATGGGCAAAGACTAAATGAAGTCTGGACGCTGAGTGCATACTTTGAGAGAAGCTGACGTGTGGGCGAACATTAACACAGTGAGATTTTTTTAGATGGTCGACTGCCTACGTTCATTCTGTTGGTATCTGACCAACAGTAACATTTAGGCCACATCCACAGCACTTCCTGTTCAGTGATCGGACCTGTACATAAATGTCGGCTGCTGCTGCCTTTTCCTCGTTTGTTTCAGCTGGTTTTATTGTCTTGTCTAAATCTCAGTGGACAAGAAGTTCTGATGGATATGGTAACTGAGGAAGTCGCCTGAAACAGAGAGGAGCCAGGAGGAATAAGGGGTCTAAAAAGTAGAGTCCAACACAATGAAGCTGATAAGAAAGTAGCTGTGTTTCTTTGGAGATCACACAGGAACTAGACAGCAAGTCTTAAACATCCCACATTTCCCATGAACACCTGCTGGGTCCTCCCTTCCTCTCACCTGCAGTGCCGCTGTATCCATCCACAGTCAGCGTGTAGGTCTTACCGGCCACCTCGAATGTCGAGTATTTAGCAAACGCTGACTCCTTTTGGTCTCGCAGGTCGACACGCAGACTCATCCTGGTCATGGTGGTCAGTTTGTGGAGACTGTCGAGGCCTGAACCGACAGGAGATGTAGTCGATTATCTCCAGACAAACGGGACTTGTTGTTTAGATTTATGTTTAAACAACCTTGATTTAGGCTGTATTTAGTGATGGTTGATCGAGGCTTTGTTGAAGCTTCGACACAGTATTCACAAAAATGGTTCATTACTCCAGGTCTCAATGACCCTGTGCTGAAGTAGGACATCTAGTGGTCAAGACGTGTCACTTATTGGTTCATGGATCGTTTGAGATTTGATTCGCCATGCACATTCCTGTTCAACTACACTACATGATTGTATGGTTTCAAGCTGACAAAATGTTGAAGACCATATGTCTTATTTGGCATG